AAAGTCTCTGTAGTCAAGGATGACCTTGAACTTCAGATTCTCGTGCCTCTACCTCCTTGTTCCTGGGAATGCAGGAATTTGCCATCATGCCTGAGTTTTTATGTAGTGCTGGGAATGGAAGCGAAGGTGTTGTTAATGCTACACAGGTATTCTACCAACTGAGCTACATCTCTAGCTGCTTTTATATTTTACAAAAGGTAGAATACAGAATTTAACAGGAAAGCCACAAAACAGTTATTGTGTCAGTAGTGGGGAACAGAATCATGAGGTTATGGGACTGGGGACTCATTATTGTAAATGGTTTCACACAGTTGTAGATGGAGCTGAGAGAGTGTGACTAAACGGGACTCTGGTGTCGAGATGGAATCAGTCTCTGGCCACTGCATGTGAGAAGCATGTGCTTCTGCTGAAAGGGGCCCACAGTGGATTAACAGTGTCCTCAGCAGGGAAGAAAAACTAGATGTAGAGCAAAAGAGGGTGAGAACAAGCCAGCAGCCACCCACCCATCCTCTTCACCACAGCTGAGGGTAACACCTTTCAGAACCTTGAAGCATGTAGATAGTCTATATCATGAAAATTAGAATGAACATTCCAAAGTATATAGAACTGGGCATGGTGGTACACAATTTAATCCCAGCCCCTGGGAGGCTGAGACTGGAGGATCCTGTATTTGAGTCAGCTTGGGTTTCATAGAGAGATCTTGTCTCAAAAATAAAGGGCTAGGAATGTAGCTCAATTGGTAGAGTGCTTGCCTGGCATGTATGAAGCTGAGTTTTATCCTCAGCATTGAATAAACTGGGCACTGTGTTATATGCCTGTAATCTCAGCACTTAGGAGGTGGAGGCAGGAGGATTAGGAATCCAAAAAAAAATATATATATATTTTTTCAATTGGTCTTTTTGAGACAGGTTCTCCCTGTAGCCCCAGCTGGCCTGGAATTCACTATGTAGACCAGGCTGGCCTCGAACTCCCTCCGCCTCTTTTTTAAAAAAAATTTTTTTATTTATTTTTATTTTTTATGTGTATGAATGTATTGCCTACGTGTATGTGAGTGCACCCAGGTTTTACAACTCCTTGGAGGTCAGACAAGGCTCCAGATTTACCTGGAACTGGAGTTAAGGATGGTTTTTCACCATGTGGGTGCTGGGACTCAAACCTGGGTCCTCTGCAAGAGCAGCCAGTGCTCTTAACCTCTAAGCCATCTCTCCAGCCCCAATCTGCCTCTCTTTTTTTAAAAAAAAATTTACTTTAAAAAAATTATTTATTAGTTTTATTTTATGTGTATGAGTGTGTTGCCTGCATGTATGTGAGTGCACTCATGTAATGCAATGCTGCAGAGGTCAGAAGAGGGCTTCGGATTCCCCTGGAACTAGAGTTAAGGATGATTCGTAGCCGCTATGTAGATGCTGGGAATCAAAACTGGATCCTCTGCAAGAACAGTCAGTCCTCTTAACTGCTGATCCATCTCTCCAGACCCTTATTTATTATTTTTATTTTTGTGTGTATGAATGTATTACCTGCATGTATGTAAATATATCTGTGTCATACAATGCCCTTGGAGGTCAGAAGAGAGCACTGGAGTCCCCTTACGACAGTTGTTAGCCACTATGTGGGTGCTGAGAATTGAACCCAGTCTTCTGCAAAAGCAGACAGTCCCCCCTTTTTTTTTTTTTTTCGGTCTTTTTTTGAGACAGGGTCTCCTTGTAGCCCCAGCTGGCCTGGAACTCACTACATAGACCAGGCTGGCCTCGAACTTACAGAGATCTGCCTGTCTCTGCTTCCCAAGTGCTGGGGATTAAAGGCATGCTTGTTTTGGAGACTCCGTCTTTAAAAAAACAAAAAAGGAGCACACAGAGAAAATCATTAATGCCTATTAGACATCACACAAGTGGGTTTAGACACTGTGTGCCTTCTGATGGAAATACCACTTCTATGAAAGTTTTCCAGACTCCCACCAAGCCTTTTGATCAGGCTCCCAAGTTATAGAACATACAGGAGACAGAAGAACACAGCAGTGACAGCATAGAGAGGGCCTGACAGAACCTAGATTGTAGGAAGCTCCACAGGACGAATGCATCTAAAACATATTGTGTATGGTGAGAAGGGCTGGGACTAAAGCTCAGTGGTAGAGCATTTGCTTACAGTATGTGAGGCCTTGGGTTCCATCTCCAGCACTGGGAGTTGGGAGGGAACCAAGTTAGAGGACATTAAGTGAGATAAACCAGAGAAAGGAAGACAAATACTACATGTTAGTTGTATGTAGAGGACGCAAAGTTGATCTTTTGTTGTTGTCCCCAGATTTAGTGAAAATATTAAAGAATAGAAGAAAAGATTCCAACAGCTCCACGTGGTGTTTTGAAATTCATCCCAACTGTAGGCTGAGTGACCTGCAGGTTGGAGAGACTGCTAAAGTCCAGAAGCTTCAGAATTTCCTTAGTGTCAGGATCCACTTCAATGACCTCCTGATCCAGGGCTCAGACCTCAGGAACATAATTATCTCTCTTCTCTCTCTCCTCCTCCTGCAACTTGATGGAGGTCCCTCTCACGGGACCTCTCTGAATGCGCTTCATCAGATGTGTGCCGTAGCCTGCTATCTTGTGGGGCTTCTTGCTGGGGATAATGCGATCTCCTCACACACACGCTTGTTGGTGTGGAAGTCGTTCCCCAGGCACAGGTAGTATTTTTCAATGATGACCCAAGCTGCCTTCTTCACGGTTTTGGTGTGAACGCAGCCCATGTTGGTGGGTCCTGGTAAAAGAGGAGGCAAAGTTGATCTTGTAGGTGAGGGAAGTGTGGTTCCTACAGGCTGGAAAGTGGGAGGAGTGGGAGCAATGAAAGGAAGACGATAGATACAGGGGTGCTGGATGGAGCCATGAGTTCTTTTTTCTCCCTCCTTCCCTCCTTCCCTCCCTCCCTCCCTTCCTTCTGTATAGCTCTGACTTTGTGGACTAGGCTAACCTCAAACTCAAACTCACAGACACCTATCTGCCTCTGCCTCCCAAGTGCTGGGATTAAAGGTGTGTGTCACCACCCTTGGTGTTCTTTTGGGGGAGTGGGGGCAGCATTTTGCTGTATTGCCTGGCCTGGAACTTGCTATATACCTCAGGTTGGCCTCTGCCTCCTAAGTGTTGGGATTACAGGTGTTCACCACCACACCCAGCTGGGAAGAATAATTTCTAAAGTTCTACAGCACAATGGGATAACTGTGGTTGACAACAATAAATTAAATAAGTCAAAATAGCTAATAGGATTTGAACATTCCTAACACAAAAAAATGACTAATGTTTGAATGAGGGATTTGCCAGTGACCCTGATTTGATCATAACACACTATATCAATCTAACTAAAGGTTACACTGTGCCTTGTAAATATGGAAAACTACAATGTGAGGTGTCAATTAAAATAATTTTTTTTTTGAGACAGGGTCTCCCTGTAGCCCTAGCTGACCTGGATTCGCTATAGAGACCAGGCTGGCCTGGAACTCACAGAGATCCACCTGCTTCTGCCTCTCGAGTGCTGGAATTAAAGGCGTGCACCACCTCGCTCAGGAAAATAAAATGTATTTTAAGTCAGTGTGGTGGCTCACACATTTAACCCCAGCATTCAGGAGGCAGAGGAAGAGGCAGGTGGATCCTTGTGAGGTCAAGGCCAACCTTGTTTACATAGTGAGTTTCAATCAATAGGCTACATAGTGAGACCGTGTGTGTGTGTGTGTGTGTGTGTGTGTGTGTGTGTGTGCTCGTAAAGGTGCTTGTTACATAGGCCTGGCTACCCCTTATTCTCTTTTTCTTTTTCCCTCTGTTCTTTTAATGGTGAACAAAATGGGAAGCAGGGGAGATGGGGGACAAGTCAGGAGCTAAATAAATACAGTTTATGCCATGTTCTAAAGTGTTGACTTATGTGGATCTTTGAGCCTCTAGAGAAGGTGACAGGCAGCTCCAGGATATCCAGGGATCTAGCAGGGCAGCTGCAGAGACTCAACACATACCCTACCCTGGAGGGAAGCTGAGGTGGGAGAATGACTTGAGCTCAGACCTTGGAGACCAGCTTGGGGCAAAAGAGCTAGACTTTGTCTCAAAACAAAACAAAAACCAAACAACCAAACCCCCAAACCAAACACACACAAAAAGAGAAAACTGTAAATAGATTTTGTTTCTTTTGAGTATGAAATGGGGTCAAAGTGGGAAGAGGTGGGCCAAGTATGAGTCATGTCACAGAATTACAAAACTGTGACCTTGCTCTAGCAAAAAGGGCTACAGGGAGAGAGCTGGATAGGGTAGGGAGGCACAATTAAAACTGGGAAGTTTAAAACTAGGTTACAACAACTATAAAGTCAAGGAAAGTAGCCAGCCAGGGGAGAAGAGTGGGAAGAGCTAATAGAAAGGAATGACCAGTTCATAGACCCTGAGGCAGGGTAGAGTTTGGTTCATTCAGCTGGAGGAATTTTTACAAGGTTAATTTTATTGGTTTTGTTTTGCTTTGATTTATTTTTCTCCCTGGGGGTTACAAAGCAGTTTCCTCCTTACTGCCAGACTGATTTCCAGAATGCCAGCCTCAGGTTGCTCCCACCAGTCAAGTGCACTGGCTGGGACAGCTCCACCTTCTGCCCTGACATCTGTCATCATCGGCCTTTCTCAGGTTTTGCCAAGTCTGAGTGGTGTAATTGATACCACATTGTCCTTTTAATCTGATTTTTTTCTGATTGTGAATACATCTGACCACCCTTTCCTATGTTTGCAGGTTTGCTGGGGTGGTTGCTCCTTAAAAGCCTGTTCAAGTCCTTAGAGGTCTGAAGGTGGCCAGATCAAGGTCTCCGCTGTGCCCAGGGTGGGACCTGATTGGAAGAGTCCCAGGGGAGAAGCACACAGGAGACCTGGGGCAGGTTGAAGGCGCAATGCCAGAGTACAATCTGGAATCCGTGGAGGGGCCCTGGGCTCTGGGTCGCCGCAGCTGTGCTAACAGCAGGTACCGACCTGGGAGGAATGGGGAGGATCTGCGCGCTCTGGCCTGGGCACTCCTTGTTCCGGCAGCCACGCGCGCGCGTGCGCGCGCGCGCAACACGAACGCAGAGCTGCGGGATGGAGGAGCTGGCCTGGGAGACCCACGGCCGTGAGTCCCCGTGCCGTGGGCGGAGGGAAGCGGGGGTGGGGTGGGGGGAACCTAGGTGAAGAGGACCCGGTGTTCGCTTAGGGAGGCCTAGAGAGAGTTTGGCGGGTCCTTGTGGCCACCTCGTCTGTGGCTCCCAGAGGAACGCGTCATTGACCGCACATCTGCTGCTCAGCATCCCCGGCCCAGCGAGCTCCAGCTAGAAAGGACAAGAGTATCAGCGATCCTCGTTGAGGACTTCCTCAGTATGCCAGGCCTTGAGGCAGCACAGGCCCATCATCTAGCAGAGATGGTGTGGATAGGGCCCACTGTCATCAAAAATTTTCAGATGGGAAAGCTGAGGCACGGGGGTGGGGGCGTGTCATAGGGCCATGTAGTGGTAGAAATGCTGACCCGGGCTGGGGATGTAGTTCAGCTGGGAGAGTACTTGTCTGGTAGGCACGAGGCCCTGGGTTCGATCTCCAGCACCACATAAACTGGGCATGGTGGCACACACCTGTAACTGTAGTCTATAATCCTAGCATTAGAGAGGTGGAGACAGAAGGATCACTTCAAGGCCCTCTTCCATTCTCAGGTAGAGAGGGAGTTCAAGGCCAGCTTTGGGCTACATGAGAACCTGTCTAAAACAACAACAACCCTGAAATGGGGAATTTGGGACCCAGAGAAGAGTTACTATTCACCAAATGAGATGGGGGCACCTCAGAGTATTTTGCACAGTACTCAGAGCCAGGACTCTTAGATGGGCAGAAGCATACATACATTGGCCATCAGCAGCAGTCCTGAGAGGTCTTTGGTGCCCTGCCTGGGAAAGGGAAGAGGATTGTACCCTTGTCTCCACTGAGAGTCTTCATTCCTGAAATCCAGGCTGAGCCCTGCCCATGGAATGTGTAAACTGTTGAAGAAAACTATTATCTTCTTAGATGAGTGAGGTGCTGGGGTTAGCAGGTTCCATTAAGTGTTGGTTTAAAATTTGATTATTTATTTACTTTTCTTTTTTTTTTTTTTTTGGTGTTTTTGAGACAGGGTCTCTCTATAGTCCCAGCTGGCCTGGAACTCACTATGTAGACCAGGCTGGCCTGGAACTCACAGAGATCTGGGATCTGCCTGCCTCTGCCTCCTGAGTGCTGGGACTAAAGGTGTGTACCACCATGCCCAGTTTATATATTTATTTTTAAGATTTATGTGTATGTGTGCACCTGCTGGTCTGTATGTGTGCCATGTGTATGTAATGCCCACAGAAGCCAAAAGAGGGCATTGGATCCCCTGGAACTGGAGTTACAGGTGGTTATAAACTGCCATATGGGTGCTGGGAACTGAAATTTGTTCTCTGCAAGAGTAGCAAGTGCTCTTAACTTCTGAGCCATCCCTTCACCCATCCCACCCCCCTTTTTGAGACAGGGTCTCATATAACCCAGATGACTTCAACGTGCTATGTAGCTGATGTTGGCTTTGAACTCCTGACCTTCCTTCAACTCCTAAGTGCTGAAATTACAGTCTGGGATTACAGGTTTGTACCACCACACTCTGATTATTTTGGAGTTCTGCTAGGGGAAGAGGATCACTAAACCATTCTTAACAGACAAAGACTGTAGCAACAATTGAGCTATGGGGGATGGGAGGTAAGGAGGGGTGAGAGGGATTCTGGACAGAAGACCCAGAATCTGACCCATAAAGGCCCTGAGGCTGGAAGTTCATGGGAAGATGGAGATGGATGGAAGAGATAAGACTCGAACTCAGAGCTCCACCTGCCTCTGCCTCCCTAATACTGGGACTAAAGGCATCCACCATCACACCTGGCTTTTTTTTTTTCTTTTTAAAAATGTTTTTATTTTTGATGTGTATGAGTGCTTTGCCTGTATGTATGTAAGTGTACCACATGCATACATTTGCCTTTGGAGGTCAGAAGATGGTGTAGGATCCTCTGGAACTGGATTTAGATGGTTGTTAGATGCCATGTAGGTGCTGGGAACCAAACCCAGGTCATCTGCAAGAACAGCCAGTGCTCTTAACCACTGAGCCATCTTTCCAACATCTAAAGATGCTTTGAGGAGAGAGAGAACACAGAGAAAGGAGTCCATAGAGCAGGCAAAGCAGATGTGGAGGTGAAAGTGTTAGAAATTGGGGGCGAGGAGAGACAAGGTAGAAGGATGAGGCATTGGAAGGCATGGGAAGGGGAGAACAGAGCTCAGGCTTCACCCAGGGCTGGCATGACATGCATTTTGCATTCTGCACTGGATACAGCCTAGCAAAAGCCCTTACTTACCCCAGTGGGACTGAGTTCCATTCACCCACAAGTGCAGTTATAAGAGTCGGGGGGTTCTGCCTCTCACCCCACATCTTCCTTTCTCCCCAGTGCTTCCCCTGGAGAGACAGCTCCATGAGGCAGCTCGTTGGAACCAGGTGGGGAGGATAAAGGAGCTGATTGGAAGGAGGGTTAACATCAGGGCCAGAAACCATGTGAGTATAAATCCTGTGTGGCACCACAGCCCTTTGGGACAGGTCACTACCCTGGCTCTTCATGTTTGTGTGGGTTAACTTGGAGGGAAGCCTGCCCTCTGACCCCATTGCCTGCACTGGCCCAAGGTCAGGGTCAGGATTCCAGGCTAGACTTGGGTAATTCCAGAGCTCAGACTCTGATCCCCTGTGGCCCATCTGAAAGGCATTATCAATAGCACAAAGGCTAGAGGCTCCTGTGGGGAGGGGGGTGCAGGAGGTCAGAAATCAGCAGGCTGAGGCTGGCAGATGAATGGAGGAGGGTAGGCAGTCCCTGGACAGACAAAAATGGAGAGGTGCAGGTGGGCAGGAGCCCAGAATTCTGGACTGAGGGGCCAAACTCTGGAAACTGAGCATGTATGAAACAGTTTAGTTCAGCTGTCTTAGTACCTGCTGCTCCCCGCCCCCGCATCAAAAGCTGTAAGGAGCCCAGGCCCATTCTGAGGGTCTAATAGACAGGCAGGACAGCAGCCTCAGCCTGCCAGTAAGGCTCAAAGAAGGCCACAGGTGTATGTGTGTGGTCTACATCCCTGCTGTGGAAGAGGACAGAAGGAGAAGCCATGCCTTCTCAGGGGACATGGAGACAGGTCTGGGTACCATGCAGGGTGATCCTTCTGTGACATGGACCTTCTGGTGTGAGGAGCTTCTTGTATGAGATAGCACAGCCTGGCTGGCAGGGTTCCTGACTACAGTAGTGTATGGAAGCCTGCGGTGAAGACTACTGACCAAGACAACTCCATGGGGGACAGCAGTTTATTTGAGAGCAAACAGACCACTGGACTGCCTCTCAGGGAGCAGAGAAACAGCAGTCAGCCAGGGAAGTTAGCTGTCTTTTATAGGCAGTTAGGTGCGTGGGTAACTTTCCATGACATAGGCTAGGCAGTTTAGCTCAGGATTGGTTGATTTCCCAATAAGCAGAGGAACTTGCCTGGGGTTAAGCCCAGACCCACCATTTTGGAATATTGGGATCTGTGCTGCCATTTTAGGAGTCTACCAGGAACCTAAGAAGTAGGGCCTGCACTATCTGGAGTGACATGACAGGGGTGTGACCTCTGCCTTCAGAGTCTGCTTGGGGGTGTAGGAATAGTAATGAGGTTTCTGGGTATCTACTGTATTCTAGTTTTTTGGTTTTTCTTTTTTTTTTTTTGGTCTTTTTGAGATAGCTGGCCTGGAACTTGCTATGTAGACTAGGCTGGCCTTGGACTCACAGAGATGAAAGGTGTGTGTCACCACACCTGGCAATTCTAGGTTTTGTTTTTTTTAAAATATTTTATTTATTATTTTTATTTTATGTGTATGAGTGTATTGCCTGCATGTATGTGAGTGTACCCATGTCATGCAGTGCTACAGAGGTCAGAAGAAGGCTTCAGATTCCCCTGGAACTGGAGTTAGGGACGGTTCATAGCCACCATGTGGGTGCTGGGAATCAAACCTGAGTCCTCTGCAAGAGCGGTCAGTGCTCTTAACCGCTGAGCCATCTCTCCGGCCCCGTTTTTGGTTTTTTTTTTTAATGCCAAGTTTATGTGGGTGCCCACAGAAGCCAGAGGAGGGGAGTGGATCCCCTGGAGCTGGTGTTACAGGCAGTTGTGAGCTACCTGATGTGGGTGCTGGAAACTGAACTTGGGTCCTCTGGAAGAATAGCAAATGCTCTTAACCACAGAGCCATCTCTCTAGCCCCTCTGTTCTGTCTTTCAGAATGCTTGTCCAGCAGCTTCTTGGTGGGCCTTACCCCTGGAGAGATGAGGAGGGCAGGAAGTATAGGTCAAGGCAGGTCTGGGGTGTGGGGAGGTGCAGGTCACTTTACATCATGCAACATGTGGTTGGTTGTTGGTGACTGAGGCCTTGGTCTTAACTCCTGTACAAGTACCTGCAAGTGGGACTGGAGAGATGGCTCAGCACTTAAGAGCACTGGCTGCTCTTGCAAAGGACCCAGGTTTGATTCCCAGCACTCACATGGAGACTAACAACTGTCCTAACTCCAGGTCCAGGGGAATCCAACACCCTCTTCTGACCTCCATGAGCATTGCATGACACGGGTGCACTTACATACATGCAGGCAATACACTCATACACATAAAAATAAAATATTAAAAAAGAATAAGTACCTTCAAGGAAGCATGGCTTTGTAGGAAGGCAGGATGCCAGTGCCCATTCATCTATCCATCCATCCATCCATCCATCCATCCATCTCTCCATCCATTCATCTACTATTCACTATTATTCACTCATACACTCATTGAATCCTTCATTCACTAAGTATATTCATTCATGCACAATCTATTAATTACTTTCCTTGATGCTGGACAAAATACCTGATGAAAGCAACTTAAGGAAGGGTTTATTGTGGCTCACAGGTAAAGGGCTCAGTCCTTAATGGTGGGGAATGCATGGCAGCAGGAGCAGGAGGCTGCTGGTCACATTAAGTCTGCATTTGGGAAGCAGAAAGAGGCAAATGCTCAGCTCCCTCTCTCCTTTTTATTCAGTTTAGAGCCCAGCCTATGGAATGGTGCCACCTAATTAGCATGAATCTTTTTACTTCAATTAACCTAATGTAGAAAATCCCTTACAGACATGCCTGGAGATTTGTTTCTATGGTGATTCTGAATTCCAGCAAGTTGACAATCAAGATTAACAAGCACACATACTCCTTGGCTCATTCATTCAGTCATTAAGTATATTCATTCACACACTCCTTGGCTCATTCATTCATTCACTAAGTATATTCATTCATATACTCATTGGCTCATTCATTCATTCATTCATTCACTAAGTATTTATTAAGTGGGGGCAGAGCAGAACCCATGACAGTCATGGTCCCTGCTTTTGTGGGGCTGATAGTCTCGTGGGGGTGAAAAGACAACAAGCCAAGTATCTCATCCCTACTATGATAAACTATCTTATAAGTATGTGGAGAAGGGTTGGAGGGGCTTTGTCGTAACTGGAGATACCGAGGAAAGCTTCCATGGAGTGAGATGAAGGGCAGTGTTTCAGGCAGAGGGAACTGAGCCCTGAGGGAGGGAGGGAGGGAGAGAAGGGAAGGGAAGAAGGAAAGGAGGGAGGGAGGGAAAGAAGGAAGGAAGGAAGGAAGGAAGGAAGGAAGGAAGGAAGCAAGCAAGCAAGCAAGCTGGTCTCCAGAGAGACCATACAAAAAAGTAGTGTTTCCTTTCATTGGAGACTGTAGAGGGAAAAGTTGATTATAAAGAGGAGGCTAGTGGCTCTCTCTTACAATCCACTGGGACTGAGGGACAGAGACCAGGATGAACTGCCAGGGTGGTAGAGATGAGCCGAGCAGTTAGACCCTTTCATCTCATTCTGAGGGAAGAACCAGGCACTCTGGTCTCCCCTGAGGCCTTAGGGAACAATCCTAGATCACATGTGGCTTCCCAGTAGGAAGAAAGGCTTGGAGCTGGAAACCATCTGTCCTTTCTGAGCAGCAGTGGGTGGTAGTGCCAGTCCATGGAGGACCTTATAGACTCTGGGCTCAGGCATTTGTCCCAAGAGCAGTGGGAAGCTGTAAAGAGTTTCAGGCAGGGACAGATGGGCCCGGTTAATGTGTTTTACAATATTTGTTTTGGCTGTGCCATGTCAAGACAAAGGGACCCAGAGTAGGGACTAGGTCCCCAACCAGCTGGTCATCAGAGCTATCAACAGCTCTTCTAGCCTGCAGGCCAGCTGTCTTGGTAGGGAGGGTGTTGGGGGCAGGCCAGGCAGCCAGGCATAATGACAAGTTTCCTCTCTTCCTGGCAGGTGGGCAGAGTGGCCCTACACTGGGCTGCAGGTGCTGGGCATGAGCAGGCTGTGCGGCTGCTCCTGGAGCAGGGGGCTGCTGTGGACGATGTAGACTCGGTAGGACCTTAGGGAGAGGGTGTGTGGGTGTGCGTGTGTGTATGTGTGTGTGTGAATCTGTCTTTCCATATATGTATGGAGATGTGTATGTGTATGCATCTGTCAGCCTATCTGCCTGCCTATTTCAGGGGAGGTGAGGGTATCAAACCTGCAAAGAGAGTGTCTCACTGAACAAACAGATTGGTAGGCGGCACACTGCTAAGAACAGAGCACTGAAGACTAGCAGGGTCTGCAACACTGGCTCTGCAAGATTTAGGAAAAGAACTGAATCTGATAGTTTGATACAGATATATTTAAGAATCTAAATTTAGGGCTAGAAATGTGGCTTAGCTGTAGACTGCTTGCCCAGCATGCATGGGGTTCTGGGTTCCATCCTCAGCACTGGGTGGGGGTGGAGGAGGTAAAGACTAATTTTTTTTTTTTTTTTTTTTTGAGACAGGTTCTCACTATGTAGCCCTGGCTGACCTGGAACGCAATATGTAAAACAGACTGGCCTTGAGCTCACAGAGATCCATCTGCCTCTGCTGCCTGAGTTCTGGGACTAAGAGGGTACAACACCATACCTGCTCCACTTACCCTCTTTTTTTGAGACAGGGTCTCATGTAACCTAGGCTGGCATTAAAATTGATATATAGCTGGGGATGATCTTGGACTTCTGTTCCTCCTCTCTCCACTTCCTAAATGCTCCAGAGTGCTGGGATTAGAGGCATGTACCACCATGCATGGTTTATGAGGTGCTAGAAATTGAATCCAGGACTTCATACACTCTACCATCTGAGTTACATCCCTAGACCTAAAATGAATTTTTTTTTCCTGTTTTTTTGAGACAGGGTCTCCCTGAAGCCCCAGCTGGCCTGGAAGTCACTATGTAGACCAGGCTAGCATCAATCTCACAGAGATCTACCTGCCTCTGCCTCTGGAGTGCTGCGGTTAAAGACATGTGCCACCACGTCTGGCCCAAAACTAAATCTTAAAAAAGAAAAAAAAAAAAAGACTGTGGGGCTGGAGAGATGGCTCAGCAGTTAAGAACACTGGTCGTTCTCACAGAAGACCCAGGTTTGAATCCCAGCACCCACATGGCAGCTAACAACTGTCAGTAACTCCAGTTCCAGGGGATCTGACAGCCTTTTCTGTCCTCTGCTGGCATTGCACGACACGGTGCACTTCCTACATGCAGGCAATACACGAATATACACACAATAAAAATAATAAAATATTTTAAAAAATAAAAAGACTGTGTTGTGGTGGTGAACACATTTAATACTGACTCTCAGGAGGCAAAGATAGGCAAATCTCTGCAAGTTTGAGGCCAGCCTGGTCTATATAATGAGTTCCAGGCCAGCTAGGGCTACATAGTGAGACCCTGTCTTAAAAAACTGGGGTGGTGGGGTAGGTGCTAAACATGTTTGCTGTGCAAGTGTAGTGACCTGAGTTTAATTCCTGGAACCCATGTAAAGGTGTGTCCTATTTAGCTTTCTATTGCTGTGATAAAACATTCTGACCAAAAACAACTTGGGAAAGAAAGGGTTTATTTTGGCTTACAGTACTGTCTATTAAGGGAAGTCAGGGCAGGAGCTCAATCAGGAACCTGGAGGCAGGAGCTGAAACACAGTCCATGAAGGAATGCTGCTTACTGGTTTGCTCCTCTGGCCTGTATTTAGCCTGCTTTCTTTTTTTGGTCTTTTTGAGACAGGGTCTCCCTGTAGCCCCAGCTGTCCTGGAACTTACTATGCAGACCAGGCTGGCCTTGAACTCACAGAGATTCACCTGCCTCTACCTCCGAGTGCTGGGATTAAAGGCGTGCATTACCACGCCCGGCCCCAGCCGGCTTTCTTATACAACCCTGGATCACCTGCCCAGGGGTGGCACCACTCATAGTGGACCCTCCCACATCACTCAACAATCAAGACAATGCCTCACAGACATGCCCACAGGCCAATCTGATAGAGGAAATTTCCCAGCTGAGGTTCCTTCTTCCCAGGTGTGTCAGGTTGACAACTGAAGCTATTCAACACAAGGTGGAAGAACCAACTTCACAAAGTTGTTCTCTATCATCACAAGTGTGGCATGGTACATGTCCATGCGTGTGCACACATACATGTATACACACAGAAATAAGTAAGTAAATAAATATAAATTGGACATGGTGGTGAACACCTGTAATTCCAGCATTTGAGATATGGAGGCAGGATGATCAGAAGTTCATAGTCATCCTTAGCTACCTAGTTTGAAGCCAGCCTGGGCTACATGTAACCCCATCTTAAAAAAATAATAGATTCTGAGATTGGTTCCCAAACTTTTTATTTTAAAACTTTAAAAAAAATGTATTTTATTTATTTTTATTTTATGTATATGGGTGTATTGCCTGCATGTAGGTAAGTGCACCCATGTCATGCAGTGCCCGCGGAGGTCAGAAGAAAGCATTAGATTCCCCTGGAACTTCAATTACAGATGGTTGTTACCCATCATGTGGGTGCTGGGAATTGAACCCAGGTCCTCTGCAAGAGCAGCCAGTGCTCTTAACTGCTGAGCCATCATTCCAGCCTCAATAAATCTCTGTCAGATGGAGACCAGCCTGGTCTACACAGCGAGTTTCAGGCTATTCAAAGCTACAAAGTGACCCTGTCTCAAAAAAAAACAAGCAACAACACCGAATAGTCATTCTATTGAGGTGACAATGGGAGTAGATGGCAGCTGCTTTATTTTTAGGTTTCACCTGGAAAAAAAGTTTACAATAGTATATCAGCCTCTATTTTAAACAACAGCTGAACTTTCTGGTCTTTAAGCACCTGAAGCTTAGGGGTCCCTGGACTGAGTGGCACCTGCAGGCCCTAAGCTGGATGGTTTGGCCATGTTGACACAGTCACGTCTCTTCTGTTTCTCCTCACCTCCCCACATCCTCTCCCCCAGTTTGGTATGAACGGGCTTCTCCTGTCTGCCTGGTTTGGCCACTTGCGGATTGTCCAAATTCTGGTCAACGCCGGGGCCAAGGTCCACTGTGAGAGCAAGGTAAGGTAAGCAAGGTAAGCAGCCCTGCCCCTGTTCCCACTGCCCACCTCAGTTTCCCATCTGCCTCTGTCTGGGGCAGCTTGCCTCTTGGGCCTTGGAAGCGCCTGTTCAACTGAGCTGGGTGAAATTCCACTCTTGCTGCCTCTCCTGGGGCTGGAGAAAGGGCAGCAGTGTTTTCATCAGGTAACAGTCTCTCTCCTCTGCAACAAATCACTCTAAAGTTTAGTGGCTTAAAGTAATGATGACTTACTTTTTCTTTTTTTATCTTTTTGAGACAGGGTCTCCCTGTAGCCCCAGCTGTCCTGGAACTCACTATGTAGACCAGGCTGGCCTTAAACTCACAGAGATCTGCCTGCCTCTGCTTCCCAAGTGCAGGATTAAAGGTGTGGGCTACCATGCCCGGCTACTTTTTCTTTTTATCCTCTTCTTTTTTCTTTTTGGTTGTTTAGAAAGGGTCTTACTATGTAGTCCAGGCTCATCTGGAAGTAACCATGTAGCCCAGTGTGGCTTCAAACTCGAGGAAGTCCTGCCTTAGCTTCTCAAGTGAGAGCTACTATACCTGATCTCTCTGTCTCTCTCTGTCTCTGTCTGTCTCTGTCTCTCTCTCTGTCTCTCTCTCTGTCTCTCTGTCTCTCTGTCTCTCTCTCTCTCTCTCTCTCTTTCTCTCTCTCTCTCGTCTATACAGCCCTGAGTGTTCTTGAGCTTATTATCCTTTTGCCCAAGTCTCCTCAGTGCCTGGCTGATATGATTGTTCATTCCTTGGTCAGCTGGGCCATCCCTCTGGTTTTGCTCAGGCTGAGGTTGCAGGCAGCAGGCGGGCTGGGGGGCTGTAGAGTGTCTAGGACTTCTGTAGGGAAGTTCAGGACGTCTGAGATAATACCCCAGTTTCTCCAGGTGGCTGTTGATACATATAGAAGCCAGCCTGGACTTTCTATGTGACTGCCTTGGGGTAGTAAAATAAGGGTAGTGTTGGAGATATGTAGTCAGTTGGTAGAGTGTTTGCCTAGTATGCATGAAACCCTGAGTTTGATCCCCAGCACTACATAGACTGAGTATGAGGGTGTACTCCTGTAATCCCAGCACTGGGGAGACTAAGGGTATCAGGTTCAAGAAAATTCAGGGCTACAAAGCAAGTTGGAGGCCAGCCTAGGCTATTTACTGAGATGGGGGTCTCACCATATTGCCAAGACTGGCCTTTAACTCCTGGGCTCAAGTGATCCTCCCCTCAGCATCTTGGGTAGTTAGGACTATAGGTCTGTACTGTATCTGGCTTTCTTTTAAATTATTTTGAAAATTGGATTAATTCTTCATCAGTGAGTGTTTTTAGTGCTTTATATATTTTGGACACATTTCAAAGTAAATTTCAGACATCTGTGTATTTCCCTCTAAATACTTCAGCATGCATATTATTAACTAGTGTTTATAGACAACCAGATCCAGAAATCTAAAATTTAGACCCATTCAGGTTTGACTACTATCAAGATGTAGACCACCATTCTCCTGATTTTTAGGACCCATTGATGGCTTGACTGCAGTTTGCTGTTGGAAAAACAGTGGTCCAGGTGCTGGAGAGATGGCTCAGCGTTAAGAGCATGGCCTGCTTTTTCAGAGGACCTGAGTTGGATTCTTAGCACCCACGTCAGGTGGCTCCTGTAATTCCAGCTCCAGGAGATCTGAGGCCCTTTTCTGGCCCCTGGGGGCAGCTGCACACCTGTGTGCATACACGCACACACACACACACAAATATTTTTTAAAATCTTAAAAAGGCAAAGAAAAACAGAACTGCAGAGAATCTGTCCTTAATGCCCTTTAATGCAAGGCTGGGTGGAAGCTCTGGATCATAATTTTATTATTTGCAAGTCTCCCTCATTTAAATATTGCTCACAAGACCTTCTTTCTGCCTCCCCTCTCCATAACTAGGCCTCTTGCCTCCAGATCTTGGTACTATCTGGTCTCCCTTCTCCCTGGGAGGTTAGAAGGTCAGTGCTAGAGATAGCACACTGAGCACTTACTTACCTGCTCCTTCATTTGTAGCTATATGAAGGAAGCCAGTGCCTAGAATCTTTACAGCTGCTCTATGTGGATGTTTTTGGAACTCCAGACCTGTATGAACTCATCTTACATTTTGGAATCACTTTTTAGTTTGTAAAATAAGACAGTCAGTGCATAACCACAGGCTCAGAGAGGTAGAGGTAACCTGGCCCAAGACCACAGGGCTGAGTGCAGAGCTGGGCTTTTGCCCCTAACATCCTGATTTCCTGACTGCCTCACTTGGTCATCCTTGGGCTCCGTTCATCATTGACAGCCTTGTTGCCATGGGGAGTTGAGTGCTGGAAAACGGGGTATATGAGAAGGGTCTTCCTTCACAGACTCCAGGGACCACCCTGGGCTTGTTTCCAGGATGGCCTGACCTTACTGCACTGTGCAGCTCAGAAAGGCCACGTGTCTGTGCTGGCCTTTGTCATGGAGGATCTGGAGGATGTGGCCCTGGACCATGCAGACAAGGTGAGAGGGGGGCAAAACTGTTTGACTTTCCTACTGGCTCGGACTCCAGCTGGGACTGGCTGGGTGTACCTTATTGGCTGGGGGTCTGCTAGGTGTACCTTACTGACAGGGGCTGCACTAGGTATACTACATTCCTGGAGTGCAGTCTTGGATCTGTGGGAAGCTGGAATGTTTCTGGAGGGGATATAAGGGTACAGATAGGCAGGATGAAAGCAGAGCATAGTTACCTCAGAGAAGCTCCAGTCAAGGACTAGACAGACCAAGAATGGAGCCTGCTCTCTGCCTCCTGGGGAAGGTGACATTTAGTGAAGGACTAGATTTGGAAAGAGTAAAAGCACCCTGGGAACTTTAGGGATAGGAAAGAGCCTTGAGTGTGTGAGTTCTGGTGAACTGGAATCATTGGTGGGAAGGTCAGAGGGGCTGGGGATCCCCTGTGGAGATCTTAGTCTCAGTCGGAGGAGTCTGTCCTGCAGCACACGGCAGGGAGCCACTGAAGGGCTGCAATGGGAGGGGTCCCCTAACAAAGAGGCTGTTGTTGGGAAGCTGGGGCTGGCTTTTCCAGACAGTGTGTGGGGTGAGTGGTGGCAGGGGGAGAATGTCTGGGGTGGGAGAGGCCACTGCAAGCCCAGAGAGGTCAGGGGAGGCAAGGTCAGAAGGGCAGGGCGGGCATGCCCACTGACAGGGTCAGCGAGTTCACTGTCACTCTCCTTCCTGCCAGCTGGGTAGGACAGCGTTTCACAGAGCTGCTGAGCATGGACAGCTGGATGCTCTGGATTTCCTGGTGGGCTCTGGCTGTGACCACAGTGTCAAAGATAAGGTATAGTAACTGAGAGGCACTCTTAACTCCCGACCAGGATGCAAAACTCCCTGTACCTTCCTGGTGCTGGCACCTCTCAGAGCCGTAGTCTGACTCCAGCAGTACTAGAGAGAAGAGACCCTAAAGATCAGAGTATATCTGATGTTCTTCTAATAGGCGCTGTAGTGACGTACTGTGGACCAACTGGTGGGGGTGCAAAGATGCCCAAGACAAAGCTTCTTTAGTATTTTTCTTTGAAAATAAAAAAGAAATATTGTTGTTTTTAAAATATTTTATTTATTATTTTATGCATATGAATGTATTGCTTGCATATATGTAAGTGCACCTGTGTTGTGCAATGCCCATGGAAGTCAAAAGACGGCATCAGATCCCTTGGAACTGGAGTTACCACTGGAGATGGTTATTAACCACCGTATGAGTGCTAGGAGCCAAACTCCAGTCCTCTGTAAGAGCAGCCAGTGCTCCCAGCCACTGAGTCATCTCTCCAGCTCCTGTTGTTTTTGAGACAGGGTCTCTCTGTAGCTCCAGCTGGCCTGGAACTCATTATATAGACCAGGCTGGCCTTAATCTCAGAGACCCACCTGCTTCTGCCTCTGGAGTGCTGGGATTAAAAGTGTGTACTACCATGCCTGGCTCTTTTCTATTTTTTGAGACAGTTTCATGTAGCCCAGGCTGGCCTCAAGGGCTAGGATTATAGGCAGTACCACCATGTTGGGTTTATACAGTACAGGTGATTGAACCCTTGTGTCTTGAGCATGCCCCTGGTTGTGGTTTTTGGTAGTGTACAGGCATGAAGCTTGTCACAGATCTGCTTTGTAACCCTGGGCATGCCACTTGCATGCTGGGCCTTGGCTTCTGTGTCTATAAATAAGGAATAGCTCCAATGACTGAAATTTTGGGGCTCTATGTCTGCCTATCCCTCAGACACTTTTCTCCCCACAGGAAGGGAACACAGCCCTGCACCTGGCTGCCAGCCGGGGCCACATGGCTGTGCTACAGAGACTTGTGGACATTGGGTTAGACCTGGAGGAGCAGAATATGGTAAGTCACTAGCTGGGAACACAGAGAAGTGAGACAGTCACTGACTCCCTGATGTTGAGCCCCCAGCCTATGGTGGCAGTATGACTTTGCCTTGGGAGAGGCCTGGAGCAGAAACCTAAGGACATGTTCTCATGCTGATACCTACCAGGAAGGAAGAGGCCAGCAGCAGCCCAGGGCCTAGGCTGAGTAGGGCACCAGACAGGCTGGGTCATCAAGACTTGAGCAGTGGCCACACAGGTGGTCAGGGATGGCTTTCTGGTACAGGAGGGAATAGACTAGTAGAGCTGAGATGGCTTGAAGGACAAAGAGAATATGGACAGGGGTGTAGATCAGGGTCAGCATATGATATGCATTCCACACAGACCATCAGTGAAGGCCTGGGGACCATGGTAAGCAAGCCCCTTGTCCTACAGTAGGCAGTGGAGAACTCAAGGGCCCAGAGCACAGGGGTCTGTGCTCACTTTGGGGTCTGGGTTCACCTTCCCCACTGTCCTTATTCCTATCTCTGTGTGTTTCAGGAAGGTCTGACCGCCCTGCATGCAGCCACTGAAGGGTTCCACCCCGACTGCGTGAGGCTTCTTCTCAGGGCTGGGAGCAACGTGAATGCCCTCACCCAGGTAGCCAGCTCTCCTGAGACTGATGGCTTCCCTAGGCCTCTGAGCCATGACTGTGTTAAGAGACAGAGCTGTTGTGATTCCTGAACATTCTGTGGATAGAGGCTTTGAGGTAGCCACCCTTGATATTGGTCTTGGCTTATCCACTGCTGAGCTATGTGACCTGGGGCAAGTTATGGTACCTAAGGCCTTGTACCTTAGTGGGCTCCTTTTGCTGGTCTTTGGGCCAGGAAAAATCATTGATTCCTCCTAACCTAGGGCCATGAGACTTGAATATAAACTCCAGGGCTCCCTGTCACCCCTGCCACTACAGGTCCTTGAGATGTTGCAATGCCTTCTGTTTCCCTTCAGAAAAAGCTGAGCTGCCTCCATTACTCGGCCCTCAGTGGCTCTGAGGACATGTCCCGGGCGCTCATCCAGGCAGGAGGGCGCACCAATGTGGCTGACCAGGTAAGTGTGGGGTCTGAATCAAAGGGCTCCACATTGCAGTCTCCCATAACTATATTTATGAGGAATGGGAAGGAGAGCTAGGTACTTCTTAACCCTTGGGGTTATGGTGCAGAAGAGACTAGAGGAAATAGTGACATTTTGTGTTCCTGTTTTGTCTAGAACAGGGTTGACACCAAGCTTGCCCATCCTCCCAGCTTATGTCTTTAACTTTGCAGATCCAAACTCTATTTTTTTTTGGTCTTTTTGAGGCAAGGTCTCCCTGTATCCCCAGCTGTCCTGGAACTTACTATGTAGACCAAGCTGGCCTTGAACTCACAGAGATCTGCCTGCCTCTGCCTCCAAGTGCTGGGATTAAAGCCTTGTGCCACCATGCCTGGCCATCAAACTCTATTTTTAGTTGTTAACTCTGTGCGTGCGTGTGTGTGTGTGTGTGTGTGTGTGTGTGTGTGTGTGTCTGGCGTATGTGTGTGTTCATGTGTATGTCAAGGCTAGAGGTCAACATCAGGTATCTTTTCAATTGTTCTCTACCATTTTTTTTTTTTTTTTTTGAGACAGGGTCTCCCTATAGCCTCAGATGGCCTGGAACTCACTATGTAGACCAGACTGGCCTTGAACTCACAGAGATCTGCCTGCCTCTGCTTCCCAAGTGCTGGGATTAAAGGCATGTCCCACCACGCCTGGCCTCTACCTTATATTTTTTAAAGATTTATTTTTATGTGTATGTATGTGCTTATGTGAGTTTATGTGTACCACATGTACACAGGAACACACAGCAGCCAGAAGGAATCAGGTCCCTGGAACCAGATTTATAGATAGCTGTGAGCCGCCATGTGGGTGCTGGGAACCGAACCTGGGTCCTCTGCAAGAGCAGTAAGTGCTTTTAACTACTGAGTGAACTGGTCTCCAGCCCTCCACCTTATTTTTTGAGACTGAGGTTACAGGTATGCACTGCCACACCCTGTTTTTTAATGTGCTTACATGGTAAATACTTTTCTGGTTAAGCCATCTCCCTAGCCCAGTTGTTAACTTTTATTACATCAGAACACATGTAGCACACATGCAGGGACAATGTAATCCTGTGGCCCAGACAGGTATTCTTGTCAGAATACCTAGGCATTCCTCTATTGGACCTCCTCCCACTCATGGGAGTTCTTTTTCACTTTTATAAATCTACCTTTGCTCTGTTTTTAAAAAGAAAAGGAAAAAGGAAACCTGGTCTTGAACCTTGGCAATACCATTTGCAAAATACCCTTAGGCAAGCTGCTGTGACCTTACCAGGAGTCTGTTTCATATCTATAAGAATTATTATTTGGGCTGAGAGATGGTTCAGTGGTTAAAAGCCCTGATTGCTCTTGCAGAGGACCCAAGTTCAATTCCTAGCACTCACATGACAGCTAAGAACCATCCTTAACTCCAGTTCCAGAGGCTCCAAAGCTCTCTTCTGACCTCTGAGGCATTGTATGACATGGGTGCACTCACAGACATGCAGACAATACATGCATACACATAAAATAAAAATAATAAAATATTAAAGAATTATTATTCTTGGGACTGGAGAGATGGCACAGCAGTTAGGAGCACTGGATGTTCTTACAGAGGGCCAGGGTTCGGTTCCCAGCACCCACATGGTGGCTAGCAACTGTCCAAAACTTCAGTTCCAGGAGATCTGACTCCTTCTGGCCTTTATTGGCATTGCACATACATGGTACACTTACATACATGTAGACAAAATACTCATACATATAAAAATAAAAAAAGTAAAAGAGAATTATTATTCCCATTATATAAATAGGAGATACCTATTTTTTAATTTTAATTTTTAATATTTTTTGGTCTTTTTGAGACAGGTCTCCCTGTAGCACCAGCTGGCCTGCAACGTGCTATATAGACCAGGCTGGCCTTGAACTCACAGAGATCCGCCTGCCTCTGCCTCCTGAGTGCTGGGATTAAAGGTATGTGGCACCACCCCAGGCTTATTATTATTATTATTATTATTATTATTATTATTATTATTTGGTCTTTTTGAGACAGGGTCTCCCTGTAGCCCCAGCTGTCCTGGAACTCACTATGTAGACCAGGCTGGCCTTGAATTTACAGAGATCTGCCTGCCTCTGCCTCCCAAGTGCTGGGATTAAAGGTGCGCACCGCCACCATGCCTGGCTTATTTTTTAATTTAAAAAATTTATTTACCAGCTGGGAGTGGTGGCCAGTTTTAGGCCTCAGGTTCCAGGCTTTGGGGGCTGTGGCTGCCTCCAGCCTCCCATATTGTTTAAGATGTTATTGTGGCCAAATCCAGAAGCCCTACTGGCCTTCTAATCCCATCCCCATCCCTAGCCTGCAGTCCTGGGAGGGACCTATCCATTGACTTGTGTGTCTCCCCCTATAGCAGGGTACCTCTCCTATGCACCTTGCTGTGAGATACAACTTCCCTGCCCTGGTCCAGCTGCTCATTGATGCCCACAGTGACTTGGATGCCATAGATAATGTAAGTGACTTCAGAAGCCATTCAGCCCTAGAGGGCCTCTGGGCAACCTACAAGCTGGCAAGGACTGTGCTGCAGTCTCCCAGCATGGCCCAGAATTGAGGAATCAATTCTCTTTTTAACTCTCAAATAGTTGTTTGGTTTATTTTCATTTTTATTCTTTTTATTCATTCAGGTTTATCCATATTTATTTTTATTCATTATGTGTATCTGTGTGAATATATGCCACATGTGGGCAGGTGCCTAGAGAATGCAGATGAGAGTGTCATCTCCTGGAGCTTGAGTTACAGGCAGATGTGAGCTCCACCTCTCATGTGGGTGCTGGGAACTGTACTTGGGTCATCTGCAAGAGCAGTAAGCACTCTTAACCACTGAGCCATCTCTCTGTCCCCAACAAGGGTATTTTTATGTAACAAAGTATTGACTTCTAAAGTTATGATCACTAAGGAGCTGTATTTATTAATTTTAATTTTTGAGATAGTATTCATGCATCCCAGTTTAACCTCAAACTTGCTGTGTAGTTGAGGATGATCTTGAACTCCTGAACCTCCTGCCTCTACTTCCTGAGTGCTGGAATTACACAAGTGGGCCCAGCTTCTGTGGTGCTAGGGACCAAACACTGGGCTTCATGCATGCTAGGCAAGCACTCTACCATCTAAGCTACATCCCCAGATGCTACTCTGGCTTTGAGCAACAGACTGTCATCCCATGTGCTTTTCTGCTTACCTGTCCCCTTATCTTCTCTCCAGAGGCAGCAGACACCCCTCCACCTTGCTGCTGAGCACGCCTGTCAGGACGTGGCAGAGATGCTCCTTGTTGCAGGCGTTGACCTAAGCCTGAGAGATAAGGTATCTCTGTTCACAGTGGCCTCTCTTTCAAGGTTTCATGGCTCCTTCCCCACCAGAGATGCTGCCACAAATGCCTCTTCCCTGTTCTCAGAGTGTTCAGGACCTTCCAAGTGACTCAGAAGCTATCTGCTCCAGCACAGCCTTCTGTCCTCTGAGGTCCCTCAGCTTTGGCCCTGCTTTTTTGGTTTAGATTTATGCTGTGGTTGCTTTCTGTTTCACAGGTCCCCACCAGACTGGTAGTTCTGTGAGTCATGTGGTGGTGGCAGGGAATGGCAGGACTGACTAGTGTCCAGCTAACATATTCCTGCACAAGCAACAGAATTTGGGGCAACTCCCCTGTTCGTGCCTCTGGATCACTGCTTCCTCAGGTGGCTGGAGACCTTGGGAGAGCTGAAGAGATGAGGCAGGATGTCACAGGCTTGGAGGACAGGCACTTGCACGTCACTCTGCAAGGCCAAGAGGGATGGATGGTGGAGGCCAGAGTTGGGGGCCGCAATCAGGCTGGACCTGGGAGGGAACTCCCTGCTTTGCGCTGAGCCTAGGCTGCTGGCGTCCTGTAAAGAATAGCTTCCAGTGTCACTGCAGACCCCTGAAATGACCCTGTGGGAGGCCTGGAGCAAAGGGCCTGGTGCCTGTGAGCAGGCAGACAGATGTGGCAGGATGGCCTATGCCCCCATCTCAGGGCTCTGATTTTTCCTCTGAGACATGAGATTAAGGTGTCATCTGAGGTGGGGGTGAAGAGTGAATGAGGGCTGGCTGATAAACTCTGGGTTTCTTTCTTTTAAAGATTTTTAAAAAATGTATATGTATATGTGTTTGTGTGAGTGCCTGTGGGGGCCAGAAAAGTGTGTGCATGGGTGCCCATGGAGACCAGAATAGGGTGTCACATTCCTTGGAGCTGTAGTTAGAGGCATTTGTGAACAACTTGATGAGGATGCTGGAATCTGAACTCTGGTCTTCATGATAGAACAGCACCTGTTCTTAACCTCTGAGCAATCTTTCCAGCTCAGCTCTGGGATTTCTAAGTCCTGAAGAAACCATCAGTGGTCGCTGGAGTTATTATTACTCCACATCTCTACCACGCAACCCAGAAACCTTTCTTCTCTACAATGCGGACTACAGGAAACCACTTCCCTTGGGCAGGAGGGTTTGTAGAGAGCAGAGACAGCTCTCTACCCTCCTATAGAAACTGTTTTCCCTTCTGTCTCTTCTTTGTAGCAAGGAAAAACTGCCCTGGCCGTGGCTGCCCGCAGTAACCATGTCAGCCTGGTGGATATGATCATCAAAGCTGATCGTTTCTACAGATGGGAGAAGGTAAGGAAGCCCCAATAGGTTTCTCCTATTGGAAAGAGAAACAACCTTGGCTGTGGGTGGAACTGGTTTTTAATCCTAGCCACAACCAATTCTGGGGCCCCTGTCTCTAAGTGGGTGGTCCTCACTGCCTTGGGTACCACCAAGATGTGAGGATCTGGAGATGGGCAAGTATCCAGATACACAGTAACAAGGTATCAGCCTGGTGTGGATCTTGCTGTAGCTCCTGGCTCAGGAACAAATTGCATGGATGATAAAGAAATGGTGAGCCATCCCACCTTCCTGCCATCTCCAGGTGATGAAGCTGCTGCTTGGATGTTTCTTCAGGCAACTTTCTGTGCCCCCAAAGCAAAGTGTCCTGGGATTGATTGGTACACATGAGTGCAGGTGCCTGAGGAGGCTAGTGGCATCAGAATCTCTGGAGCTAGAATTACAGGAGGTTGTGAGCCACTCAGTGTGGGTGCTGGGGATTGAGTTCAGATCCTCTGCAAGAGGAGGACGTGCTCTTCACTTCTGAGCCATCTCTCCAGCCCCTCAGAGAAATGTTTTGATTAATGTTTGGTTTCATGTTTAAATTTAGCTAATTAAACTATTCAAAACATTTAAAAATGAATAACTTAGTACAATAGATTATTATTATTTGAATGTTTCCTAAACTCTGAAATTATTCTGATAAATCCACTAACTTTATACATAATCTCAAGTAGTTTTCTTCTTGGCTTTTTTGTTTGTTTGTTTGTTTGTTAGTTATTGAGGTTTGAACCTATGCCCTCATGTATGCTAGGCCAACTCTCTACTAATAAGCTATATATATCCTCTGTCCAGTTAATTAAAATTAACATTTAATTAATGTGTGTGAAGTATGTTTAGCCACTAAAACATCCTGCTGGCCTCCTGTTTGCTTTTTAAAATCTTTTATTATTGAGGGGCGCATGCCGTGGTGCACAGAGGTCCAAGAACAAGTCTGTGCAGTCAGTTCTTTCCTTCCAACTTTATGTTGTGTTTTGGGGATCAAACTCAGGTTTCTAGGCTTTCATGGAGAGTGCTTTTACCTGTTGAGCCATTTTGTTTTGTTTTTTTGAGATATAGTCTCACTCTGTAGTCTAGGTTTATCTGGAACTCACTATACAACCCTGGCCAGCCTTGAACTCCAGGCACTCCTGAGGCAGGAGGCCTAGTGTTGAGATTACAAATCTGAGTCCCTGAACCTGGCTCCTTTTACATTTTTATATTTTGACATGGGATCTCAGTAAGTTGCCCAGCTTGGCCACTCTGTAGTCCAGGTAGGCCTTGAACTTGTGATCCTCCTGCCTTAGCCTCCCCAGTAGCTGGGATTAAAGGCCTGTGCCATCATACTCAGCTCTCAAATATCTTAAACACCTATATGGTTTACAAACATGGTGAACTTCTCTAACACTCCTACTGAAAAATCAATTGATGGGGCTGGAGAGATGGCTCATTGGTTTAAGGCACTAACTGGTATTTCAGAAGACCTGGGTTCAATTCCCAGGACCTACATGGTGGCTAACAACGGTCCATAACTCCAGTTCAGGGGATTTGACACCCTCTTCTGACCTACACAGGCATTGCTGGACATGGATGCACTTATATACATGCAGGCAATCCACTCATACACATAAAAATAATAAATTATACATACATATATATATACACATATATATGTATGTATTTTTGAGACAGGGTCTTCCTGTAGACCCAGCTGGCCTGGAACTCACTATGTAGACCAGGCTACCCTTGAACTCACAGAGATTCTCCTGCCTCTGCCTCCTGAGTGCTGGGATTAAAGGCATGTGCCACCATGGCTGGCAATAAAATATTTTTTAAAAAATAAGAAAAATCAGTTGATGTATAAATTTCAGTAGGCATCATAGATACTCTTTTTCACTGATACAATAGATTATCCTAAATTTTATAATCCCTTTATATATGACAGCCACCTCAAAACATAATCCCAAGATATTAATAGTTGGAGTAATGGACTCATGTCTGCTCAGTTCTAAACCACTTCAGGCTTTATAGGCTTTTAGTAGGAAACAGTGGCTTCACATGGGATCATAGATAACCATCTCTCTACCTGCAGACCAGTTCCAGCAGTATCTCTGGGTTGCAGACAAGCATCAGTAGTAGAGTCTAAAGCTCCCATGTGGTCTCATTGTTTCAAGAGAACAGTTGTTTAACACTTAAAGTGAGACTTGAATTCCAAGTTCTTAATTAAATAAATAAAAAATAAAAAACTAGAGGCCATCAAGATAACCCAGTGGGTAAAAGCACTTGCCATGAAGCCTGAAGATCTGAGTTTGAGCTCATCTCCCACAATGCTGGCCAGAGACCAGAATATTGGACTTGGAGCTACAGATGTCTAGGTGATTTTTTTCACCTCAGGATTTATTTGTTTATTTTAAAAATGATTTGTTGAGGCTGGAGTGATGGGTCAGCAGTTAAGAGCACTGGCTGCTCTTGTAGAAGACCCAGGTTCAAATCCCAACACCCATATGGCAGCTAACAATCATCCATAACTCCAGTTCCAAGGGATCTGACACCCCCTTCTGTCCTCTGTGAGTACTGAATGACATGGGTGTACTTACATACATGCAGGCAATACACTCATAAAATAAAAATGCATAAATCAAAAATATTTTTTAAAATTATTTTATTTGGGCTAGAGAGATGGCTCAGTGGTTAAGAACGCTGGTTGTTCTTGCAGAAGACCCGGGTTCAAATCCCAGCACCCACATGGCAGCTAAAAACTGTCTGTAACTCCAGTCCCAGGGGAGCTGACAGCCTTTTCTGACCTCTGTGGGCATTGCACCACACGGGTGCACTCACCCACATGCAGGCATAACACTCATACACATAAAATAAAAATAATAAATTTTTAAAAATTATTTGTCCAAGTGTTTTGATGGTATGTATACTGGTTTGCATGTAGTGCCCACAAAGGCCAGAAGAGGGCGACAGTGGGTGCTGGGAGTCAAACCCAGGTCCTTTAGAAGAACAGCAAATCTCATCTCACTCAGACTTAAAAAAAAAAATTGTTTGTATGTGTTTGGGTAGATATGCCATGGTGCTCCTCTGGAGGTCAGAGGACAAACTAGCAGGTGTGTTTCTCTTTGCATCATGTGGGTTCTGAGGATCAAATTCAAGTCATCAGGCTTAGCAGCAAGCACCCTTACCTGTTAAGCCATCTCATCACACACACCCTTTATTTTATTATATATTTTTTGGAGATAGGATCTCATGCAGTTCAGTCTGCTGTTAAGCCAGCTTGTTACATAGCTGAAGATGACCTTGAATTTTGTTTGTTTTTGAGACAGGGTCTCACTATGTAGCCCTGACTGGCCTGAAACTATGTAGACCAGGCTGGCCTCAAACTCACAGAGATCTGCCTCCTGAGTCCTGGGATTAAAGGCTTGGGCCACCATACCCAGCGAACTTGAATTTCATATTCTACTACTTCCTGAGTGGGAGATTACAGGTGTATGCCACCATACCTGGTTTTTTGTGGTTCAGGGGAAGAAATCCAGGGTTTTATCCATGCAGGGAAAGCACTCTTCCGACTGTACCACATCCCCAGCCCCTCACTTTGAACTTTTTAAAAAATGGATATAGCTCAATATTCATTCTTTACACAGGCTGCAATGGTGTGGGCTTAATTTATGCTGTTATGTAATTCTCCTGTAACCCTAATGTTGTTACCTGCTTTTCCTAAAAAGAACTCCCTAATCCCCCCTTCATTGCCTGTTAGGATTCAGCAAGCCTGAGTCTGGTTTTGCCATAGCTTCTGAATTATTCTGCTAACAGCTACTATACAAGAGGGAAAGTGGGAAACACTTGCCTTGCATGCATGAGACCCTGGATTCAGTCCCAAGCATCACACACACCACCACCACCACCACCACCACCACCATCAACAACAACAACAGCAGCAGCAGCAACAACCACCTCACCTCCAGAACGGCCTCTGACCAGAGAAGTTTGGGAAGGCTTCCTGGAGTAGGTGGCACAGTAGCGCTTTTTTAGCTATGGCGATGGGATTGAGAGGCAGGGAGGTAAGTTCTAGATGGAGGAACTCTAGTGTGATTAAATTGGGTACCAAAGGTCAAGGCAAGATACAGCGAGACAATGTGGTGGACACGAAGCCACAGACCCAGGCTGATTCAGGTTCCTAGGCTATAGCCCTACATCACTGTGTCCAATATCATGAGGCAGCACCTTCAAGGAGGCCCCAGACAGATCCTGAAACTTTCAGCATCTGCCCCACAGGACAACCTTTCATGCGGGGACCCCAGTGACTCCTTTGGGAAGGGCTTGACCTTTAAGCAGGATCATCGGCAGGAAACACAGCAGCTCCGATCCGTGCTTTGGCAACTGGCCTCCCGGTATCTGAGACCTGCGGAGTGGAAGAAGCTGGCATACTCCTGGGAGTTCACCGAGGCCCATGTCAGTGCCATTGAGCAACAGTGGACAGGTACCATCTTGCCCTGTCGGGGGCATCCAGTGGGTGGGGCATGTGAGGTGAGTTCTGTGTTCTGTGTCCTGGGTAAAGGGCCTATGCAACCCCAGCCCCATACCACTTCCAAATCACAGCTCCAGGCTTCTGCATACATTGTGCACCCCTCCTTTACCTCCCTCATGACCTTGAACTTCAACCTGAAGAATCACCTGAAACCCATAACCACTGTTTACACACTCAACTAAAGCCATTCTCCATGAAGATAAGAGGACCTACTGTGGTCACTATTGTTTAATATCAGTTTAGACATTTTGACTTTGGCATTAAGGCATGAAAAGTAAATAGAGATGAAGAATGTCATGCTGGACCAATGGCTCAGAAAGAGCACTTGTTGTGCAAGCATGAGGACCTGAGTTTGAATCACCAGAACCCAGATAAAAGATGGGTGTGGCCATGTGTGCCTGTAACCCCAGTGCTGGAGGGGTGGGCAGTTAGGTGGAGACATAAGGATCACTGGGGCTAGAGCCAGCCTACCTGAAGAAAATGGTGAGCTCCAGGTTCAGCAAGAGACTCTGTCTCAAGGGACTAAGGCAGGAGGTGTGATAGAGCAGGAGACCCAGTGCCCCTTTTGGCCTCCACACAAAAGTGCACCCAGAATACACACACATGTGCATATGCTAGTATACACCACACACTCATATACCACAAATACACACACGAGAAACAAGGAACATAGATATTGGAAAGGAATTTTTCATCACAAATGCTATAATTCCTATACACAGGAAGTCTAGAAGATGCAAGTCAAAAAGTTAGAACAGAGATAACTCAATGAAATGATTAAATACAGAATAAAATATACAAACATAATATTCCTATGTATCATCAGTAGATGGACCAAAAGTAGTTAGAATTTTAAGAGATTCCACATACACAGTATATTTTATCTGGAAAAAATTGTTTTGCTTTTTGAGTCAGGGCTCCCTGTAGCCCCAGTTGGCCTGGAACTTACGAGACAGACCAGGCTGACCTCAGTCTCCCAGAGATCCATCTGCCTCTGCCTTTGGAGTGCTGGAATTATAGGCATGTGCCACCACGCTGGGCTAAAAAAAAGTAATTTTTTGACACAGGGTCTCATGTTTCCCAGGCTGGCCTCCAATTCCATATACAGCCGAGGATAACTTTGAACTTTAAAAAAAAATTAAATCATATTCATTTATTTTATGTGTGTATGTGTTGTGGGGGTGTGTGGCATGATGCTCGTGTGAAAGTCAGAGACAATTTGCAGGAGTCGTTTGTCTCCTTCCACTGTATGGGAACTGAGAATCCAACTCAGCTTGTCAGGCTTGGCTGCAGGTGTCTTTACCTGCTGAACTATCTTGCCAGACCAAACTTTGAACTTCTGATCTTCCTGCCTCTGCTTCCCAAGTACTAGGATTGTAGGTGTCCACCACTACACCTGGCCGCCTTAGGCACCCCCCGACTTACAAGTGCATATACACTCAGACACATGACTGCACACACAAATAAAATATAGTAGGTAAATCTAATACATAAATAAGTGGTATTGAGACACTGGGCCAGATGAAATCGCTGCCCCAGCAAGAGCTGCCCATGAGGAAGTACTGCTAAGGGCCCAGACTATAACCCAGAAAGTCGCAGGAAGCAGAGCAGTGGAGTGGGCCAATCCACTGGGTCCATCCTATGGTTTGGCAGCGCATCTATTTGCACCCCAGGCAGGAAGGGCCAACCTAGTTGACAGGACTTAATTCTCAGGTCTAGGCACTGATAGTAGAGATTAGGAGATGTGCTGGACAGCTTTAGTTGTCAACTGGACACACCTGGTTAGAGGGAGCCTCAATTGGGGAACTTCCTCCATTGGACTGGCCTATGGCCATGTCTGTGAGGCATTTTCTTGATTGTTGAGGAATGTGGGTGGGCCCAGCCCACTGTGGGTGGTGCTACCCCTGGGCAGGCTGTTCTGTATTGGTATAAGAAAGCAGGCTGGGGGCTGAAGAGATGGCTCAATGGTTAAAAACACTGGCTGTCTTGCAGAAGACCTGGGTTTGAATCCCAGCACCCGCATGGCAGCTAACAACTGTCCATAACTCCAGTTCCAGGGCATCCAATGATCTCTTCTGTCCTTCACCGGCATTACACAACATGGGTGCACTTACCTACATGCAGGCAATACATGCATACACATAAAATAAAAATAATAAGAAAGCAGGCTGAGCACTGGCCAGGGGAGCAAGGCAGTAAGCAGTGTTCCTCCATGGCCTGTGCTTCAGCTCCTGCCTCCAGATTCCTGCCCTGAGTTCCTCCTACCTGGGGGTACCTCATGATGAACTGTGACACAGGAGATATAAACCAAACAAACCCTTTTCCTCCCCAAGTTGGTATTGGTCAGAGTGTTTTGTCACAGCAATCAAAGGCAAACTAGAATGGGGTGATTATTTCCCCAAACACGGTTGTTTATTGGAATCACCTGGGAAACTTTAAGGCTGTTTAACACCTGCTCAACCCTCAGACCCAAGTATGTTTGAGTCAGGGGTGGAATGGGTCCAGGTGCCAGTACTGCTTTGTGCTCCCCAGGTATTTTCCAATGAGTAGCTAAGGCTGAGAACCATCAGCCAGTGCTGGTGCAAAAACACAGCCAGCTGCCTCTCATTGTACTGTTTTTCCATCTGTAAAATAGATCCAACAAGCATGCAAGGCAGAGTGTGACCAGCTAACGAGGTGTACAGTACAATCTGGTACCTTGAACACAGAAGCTAATTCTTTCTGGACAGGGTGGATGGTGGATGTTCAAGACGAAACGAAGCTGGGGAGGTTCTGTGTCCTGAGACACCAGTCACAACCCCACCCCATCTGAGAGGCTGCACCCCAAGCCCAACCCTAGCCACCCATAAGCAGGGAGACAGGCCTCAGCTTCCTACTGCCTAGTCCTCTCTGCAGCTGGAGTCATTTAGGCTGCAGTAGAGGGCAGCACAGACAGGTGCTCTGGGGAGGAGCCGAGCTGATCTTGCCTTTTCTCCTCATCGTCTGTCCACAGGCTCCAGGAGCTACCGGGAGCATGGTCACCGCATGCTACTCATCTGGCTGCATGGTGTGGCCACAGCTGGCAAGAACCCCAGCAAAGCACTGTTTGAGGGCCTCATGGCCATTGGCAGGAGAGACCTGGCTGGTAAGTGTGTCCTTTGTTGGCCATCTGCTGAGGAGCTGCAGAGGCCTCACTGGAGTGCTAGCGATCTCCAAGGGCAGCTGAGACCAGAGCACTCTGGCTAGCTGTGGTCCTTCCTGATTACAGCTCTAGTACAGCTCTACATCTTCCACGGAGTCAGCCAGAGCCTTGGTGAACCAAGGCCTCTTTTTCCATCAGTGCCTGTGACTGACTGTGCCACTGAACCCTGGGGCCGTCACAGCCACCAAAGCCACCAATAACACTATAATCTCTACCTCCCCAACCTTTCTAACCTCGATGTATTTTTCCCCTCTAGTTTGGAATAAATTGAGAACCGCCCTCAGACTTTTTCGCACACATTAGGAAATGAGCCAGAAACTGGCTTAATAAGTTCAGCCAGTTACCTCTGGTAAATGAAATTTCTGAGGGCATCCTAAGGGTACGTTAGTGTGCCGATCCCAAAAGCCTCTGTTCAGATGGTGCCACGGGACCTTCAGATAAACAGGAGCAAAGGTTCTGGAACTAATCATTAAAGACAAAATCAGCTCTTGATGAAAAAGTCTTAAATACTAGAATATTTGGGGAGGGCAGGGACAGGAGAGGCAACATGAAGCAACAGGAATCCTGTGTTTTGCAGAGAGCATGAGGAAGAAGGCAAATGGTGAACCAAGGGCCCCCAGGAGGTGCACAGCCATGTGAGCGGGACAGACAAGGATGTCCGTAAGGGCTTTAACAACAGTCACTGCAAACAGACCTCCAGCAGGATCTACTGAATCACAGAGCCAGCAGGAAAGTAATCTTTTTCAGAGGCTCGTCAGGGGCTTGTCCCCGTTTTCTGGGTAATCCTGTCCCAGGGGTGTGAACCTTTGCAGCTCTAAGCTTACTTTTTTATGTGTGGTCAGAGGACCTCCTCAGGTGCTGTCCACATTGTTTCAAAATGGTCTCTCACTGGTCTGGGTCTCTCTGATTAGGCTGGACTGGCTGGCCAGCAAGCCCCAGGAATCCTCTTGCCTCTGCCTCTCCGTGCTGGGATTACAAACTTGTGCCACCATTGCCCTGCTTTCTATATGGATTCTGAGGATTTCTCATTAAAAACATTTTTATGTGTATCAGTGTTTTGCCTGCATGTATATAACTGCACCCCTGCGTGCACCATGGAGGCCAGAAGAGGGCGTTGGATCCCCTAGAACTGAAGTTACAGACTATAGTTAGCTATCATGTAGGTGCTGGGAACTGAACCTAAGTCCTCTGCAGGAGCAACCAGTGATCTTAACCACTGAGCCATCTTTCCAACCTTTTTACTCAGTTTTTAATAGCCCCGTGTAAAGGCTCTGTACTGTCCAATAGAACATTCTGCACTGACATGTTTTATACCTGTACATCCAAGATGGACCCACCATTATCTGATTTTTTTTTTGAGACAGGGTCTCTGTAGCCCAGTTGGCCTGGAATTCGCTATGTAGACCAGGCTAGCCTCGATCTAGCAATCCACCTGACTCTGCCTCCAGAGTAATGAGATTAAAGGCATGTGCCACTGCGCCCAGACCCAGTTATCTGAAATTTAAGTAAGCAAGTGACACCCCTTCTGGACAGCTGAGCACAGCTTCTGGGGGTGAGGTACCAGGTTCACACAGCTCTCTGCAGGATTCATGTGCCTAAAGGGGAATGTGGTTCCAGGGAACTATGACTCTTCAGAAGCTTGGTTGTTTCCTAGAATTTAGAGGCTGTGGGACAGCCTAGAGATGCTGCCAGAATGGGTGTTTCTCAGGTATAGGTGTTTCTGCCTGTGGCACTGCCATGGTCATTGTGAGGGTCCACATTTTTTTTTCTCATTTTATGTGTATGCATGTGTTGCCTGCATGTAGGTCAATGCACCTGTGTCATGTAATGCCTGCGGAGGTCAGAAGAGGCTGTCACATCCCCTGAGACTGGAGTTATGGACAGTTAACTGCCATGTGGGTGCTGGGATTCGAACCCAGATCTTCTGCAAGAACAGCCAGTGTTCTTAACCGCTGAGCCATCTCTCCAGCCCCTTTTTTTTTTTTTGGTGGTTTTTTTTTGAGACAGGGTCTCCCTGTAGCCCCAGCTGTCCTGGAACTCACTATGTAGACCAGGCTGGCCTTGAACTCACAGAGATCCGCCTGCCTCTACCTCCTGAGTGCTGGGTACACCACCACGCCCGGCTTTCTCCATCCCTTTTTATAAAATTTTATGTGTACGAGTGTATTGCCTACATGTATGTGCATGCACTCATGTCGTGCAATGCCACGGAGGTCAGAAGAGGGCTTCAGATTACCCTGGAACTGGGGTTGAGGACAGTTCGTAGCTGCCATGTGGGTGCTGGGGATTGAATCTGGGTCCTCTGCAACAGCAGTCAGTGCTCTTAACCACTAAGCCATCTCTCCAGCCCCGAGAATCCACCTCTTAAGAAAGCTCTACACCTTGACACTGGGCTGGAGACACAGCTGAAGCTGGTAGAGCTGAAAGGGGCTTTAGCTGACAGGTGTGGCTGGGTGCACAGTGGTATCAACTTCTGAGAGGCCACCTGTTTGACATCTGTTCAAACTATAAACATATTTCCCCTTTATTCTAACAATCCCTGCCCCCCCATCCTCCTTTCTTCTTCATTTTCTACTTCCCCTTTGGTCTAGCAATCTCCCTTCCCTTCCCCTCCTCTCTCTTCCCTTCCTCCCTCCCTCCACCTTGTCCTTCCCTCTGTCTGCCTGCCTTTTCTCCCTTCCTACTCCCCTTCCTTCCCTCTCTACCTCATAGTTTTTCTTGTGTCATATATATATATATATATATATATATACTTTTAAACGTAATTTTCTTTTATGTGTATTAGTGTTTTGCCTGCATGTACATATGTGTGTTATGTGCACACAGTGCCTGTAGAGGCTAGAAGAGGGCAACAAATTTCCTGGAACTGGAGTTACAGCCATTATGTGGGTGCTGGAAACCAACTCCCGGTCCTTTGCAAGATCAGCAAGTCCTCTTAGCCCTGAGCCATCTCTCCAGACCCTTTTTGAGACAGGGTCTCTCTGTAGCCCCAGCTGGCCTGGAACTCACTATGTAGACAAGGCTGGCCTTGAACTCACAGAAATCCACTTGCCTCTGCCTCCTGAGTGCTGGGATTAAAGGCATGCCACCACCATGCTCGGCCTATACTGGCTTTAAAAAAACTTACTGAAGGGGCTGGAGAGATGGCGCAGTGGTTAGAGCACTGACTGCTCTTGCAGAGGACCCAGGTTTGATTCCCAGCACACACATGGTGGCTATGAACCATCCTTAACTCCAGTTCCAGGGGAATCCAAAGTCCTCTTCTGACCTCCATGGCATTGCAGAACACGGGTGCACTCACATACATGTAGGCAATACACTCATACATAAAAAATTAATAAAGCCGGGCGTGGTGGCACACACCTTTAATCCCAGCACTCAGGAGGCAGATCTCTGCTAGCTCGAGTTCGGGGCCAGCCTGGTCTACATAGTGAGTTCCAGGACAGCTGGGGCTACAGGGAGACCCTGTCTCAAAAAGATCAAAAAATAAATAAGAATAAAATATTAACAAAACAAAACACTGTTCAGGCCAGCTGGTGTTACAAGGAGACTCTGCCTCAAAAAAAATTTTTGTTTGTGTGTATATAAGTGTGGGTGTGCATGTTGTGTGCTATGGTATGCATGCACAGGTTAGAGGACAACCTGTCGGAGTTGGGTCCCAGGAATCAAACTCAGGTTGTCAGGGCTTGGTAGCAAGTGCCTTAAATCACTGAGCCATCTTGCCAGCCCTGGATGATGTTCTTAGCAACTGGTTTTCTCTTAAAGATTATCTTGGAGTTTCAGTGTCACAGTATTGAGTTTATTTCCAGTTGGACACTCTAATCTTCCAGTAGCCTCATTGTCTATGATTAGTGAGTTTGGACACAGAGCATACTCTATCAATAAAGTTGGAAAGACAGCATGCAGTTCACACTAGAGTGAGTTCACTGTAGCAGCTGAGGCAGCTGTGGTATATATAACAAGTGTGTGGGGTGTACCCTGTGAGGTCCTCCTAAAAGGGAGTGGTGGGTCCTATTTGGTGACTGGTATTTTCTCTGGCACTGTTGGTATTGGCTCTGTTGAATATGTCTCTGTTAGAGCTCAAGAGATGGCTCAGCAGCTATGAGTCCTTGCTGCTCTTGTAGAGGACCTGAATTCCAGTCCCAGCACTCACACTGTAACTCCAGCTCCATGAGATCTGGCACCATCTTCTGGCCTTCTCAGGCACTGCACTCATATCCCACGCACACATGCACATACATACGACTAAAAGTAGAAAAATCTTTTAAAAGTCTCTGGTAGCCAGGTGTGGTGGCATATACCTTTAATCCCAGTGCTTGGGAGGCAGAGACAGATGGATCTCTGTGAGGTCAAGGTCAACCTGGTCTACATAGTTCCAGGCCAACTGAGCTATCTATGGGAAGACCCTGTCTTTTTAAAAAGACAGTAGTGGCTGCTCCAGCAACTTCAAAGAGCCTGAAGCACTTGTCCTCTGGATTAGACTTGGTATGGAACCAGACACTGCATGAGGAGAGGCAGGGGCAGGCATCATTTCCACCTCTGTGACATTCATGTCTTGTCAGCGTAGGTAATCTGCCAAGGGGTGGGACCTCGGATCCCCAAGCTATGCACACCTGGGGCAAGGTAATTGGAGATTTTTCTTCTTTCCCAATCCTTTCATTTGTAGTACCCACCAGGGATCAAGTTGAAGTGGGTCACAGCTGGAGCTGGGTAAAATTCCTCTCAGGTGAGGCGTATATGTACATAGAAGGGACAGGGGGGCACTAGAGAGATGGTTAAGCAGTTGGGAGCAATGGCTGCTCTTGCAGAAGACCTGGGTTCCCAGAACTCACATGGTAGCTAGCAAAGATCTGTGTCTCCAGTTTCAGGGAATCTAACACCCTCTTCTGGCCTCTGCAGGTATTGCATGACAGTGGGTACACTTATATGCAGGCAAAACACTCATAAAATAAAAATCTTAGAAGGGAAGAGGGGAGTATGACCATTGCTGGGGGGGGGTGCTTTCTAGACCTTGAGGCTGTGTGCTTTGGAGGTGGAGCTACAGCCAGGACTCCAGCAGCATTGCTCTAATCTGTCCCAGCACACCTCTGCAGGTGACAGAGTGATAGAAATTGAATTCCTTTCCTGCCCTGCTGGTAACAGGTGCACAATGCATTGGGAACGTGTTAGGCACTACCTGGGCAACAGCCCCTGGTTCTGGCATCCACACAAAACCATGAGATTGGCCCCAGCCTCAGGAGGCAGGCTTCCCATCCCCAGGTGCTTGTGGATAGTACTTTTTGCATCACACCACCTGGTCCCGGCTATGTTGCACTCTCAACAGGTGTGTCAGTCACTCCACTGAGCCAAATCTGGCTTATGAAGCAGTCACCTGATAAACCCATGCAGTGGTGTGTCTATGGGGTCCCACAGATAGGGGTTTCTGATCCCTGGTGCATTTCAAATTTAGACTCTAGGTTCCCTTTCAAGATGGCTCCTTGCACATTGGGGAGCTTGTGAGATGGACGTGAATTTTTTCCAATTCAGCCACTCTGTAGGTTTCATAGCTCATAACTTGCCAGGGCCAGGAAACCTTCCCATGTCGTTGTCACTTTTACCTGATATGGGGTGGAGGAGGTTCGGCCGGGTGGCAGATGGTATTTTCTTACTGTTGCTGTCCAATTCCCACTACTCCTGAATTCCAGTGGCACCTGTCACCCATCTCAATACACAGCTGTACACCCGCTGTTCTCAAGCAGCTGTCCTTGCCCTGGGCCTGGCTTTTTCTAAACTTTTATTTACTATTGTGTATGTGTGAGGGTGGAAGGCAGAGGACAGCTTGCAGGAGTCAATTCGCTCCTTCCACTGTGGGTTTCAGGGATTGGACTCAGGTTTTCAGTTTGGTGGCAAGCACTTTTACTTGCTGAGTCACTGTGCTGGTCAAAGAACCTTGTTTTTATGATTATAGTGTTTCTTCTAGCTTTAATTTTCCATAACTACATTCAAAATTGCCAAAATTTTGTTAATTATAGCAAATATGTGGATTGAATACACTTTTTTTTTTTTTTTTTTGAGACAGGGTCTCCCTGTAGCAACAGCTGGCCTGGAACTATGTAGCCTGCCTTTGCCTCCTAAGTGCTAGGATTAAAGGCATGTACCACCACATCTGGCTGAAAACACTTCTTACATATACAGAAATTTCAACTGGTGTTATCAAATAACCTAGTGTGTGGCGTACGTCTTTGCATATACAAGGGTTTGTATGCCCCTGTGTGCATGTGCAGAGGAGGATGCCCCGCACCTGTGCCTAGGTTATAGGCATGTGTAACCACATGTGTTTTTGATTTTTTGAGACAGTCTCTCCCTATACCTCCAGCTGGCCCAACACTTGCTATATAGACCAGGCTGGCCATGATCTCACAGGTATCCACCTGCTTCTGCCTCCCCAGTGCTAGGATTAAAGGGGTGCACCACCACACCTGGCCCACATCTGAATTTCTACATGGGCATTGGGTCGTCACACTTATACAGGACTCTTACCCACTGAGCCATCTTCCCCAGGTCCACAAATAACCTATTTTATCTCCTGAAAGTCCATGTAGAAAGTATATGGCTTCAGAAATGTCTTCAAAGTAATCCAGTGCAGGAGCGTGAAAGGAAAACGTGAGGGCAGGTGAACAAGGCCATCCACAAATTGCAAATTTTGTAAATTGGATGATGGGGAAGACAGAGTTTACCATTTTTTCCAAATGTATTTAAAAATTTCCAGTAGGGGCCAGATGTGGTGGTGGCTCATGCTTATAATTCCAGTGCTTAAGAAGGCTGAGGCAGGAGGATCAGAAATCCAAAGCAAGCCTTTGCTATATAGTGAGTTCAATGTCAACCTAGGTTACATGAGAACCTGTCTCTTAAGGTTTTATTTTTATTAAAAATTTTCAGTTTTGTGTATGAGTACTTTGCCTTCATGTATGTGCACCAATGTCCTACAATATGGGTGGAAGCCAGAAGAGGATGTTGGATCCCCTGGAACTGGAGTTAGGGATGGTTGTTAGCTTCCCTGTGGGTGCTGGAAATTGAACCCAGGTCCTCTGCAAGAGGGGCCAATGCTTTTAACCTCTGAGCTATCTCTCCAGCCCCCTTATTTTTAATTATGGGTATATGTGTATGAGAGTACAGGTGCCTAAAGAGGCTAGAGGTGTTGGGTCTTCCAGGAACTAGAGTTACAGGCAGTTGTGAGCTGCCCAGTGTGGTTACTGGGAATTAAACTTGGGTCCTCTGGAAGAGCAACAAGTGTTTTCTTTTTTTGAGACAGGGTGTCTCTGTATCCCCAACTGGCCTGGAACTCGCTATGTAGACCAGGCTGGCTTCAAACTTAGAGATCTGCCTCCCAAATGCTGGGAGGCACCACACCTGGCCTTAACAAGTGTTCTTAACCACACTCATCTCTCCAGCCTGAGACCTTGTTTCTTTTTCATTGGGAGCGTGTCTCTCAAAATTCCATCAGTGAGAAAGAAGTTGGGAAGAGTATGTGGCATCCAGTAGCAGTGCAATAAACAGGAGCAACTCTCCCTTTGCCATGAGCAACCTGCTGTAGAGAGATGGAGTCATTACCCAACATCACAGAATTGGCAAACAGCCCAGATGAGCAGTAACAATTACAAAAGCCACTCACTGAAATTGAGTTTTTATTCCAAATGTTTGTAATGTCTAGAAATACAACAGCTAAAACCTAATGTGCTCAATAGGCAAGTAGACAGTGACCTTCAGGAGAGTGAGCAGTGGGCTGCCAGTCTGGCACTCAGGCTATGCCTAGCAGCATAAAATCACCTGTGTGCCTATTATGTATAGTCCCAATGTGCAGATTTACAGTGACTAACATACAAGCAAAAAAGACAGAAAAGGGAAAGAAAGGAGACAAAAACACCATCCAAACCTCAGAAATGAACATACACTTAAGAACACAGTGATGAACTTTTGGTAGCAAAATTTTCACAGTTCTTAAAAGGGGAAGTTTTCAGAAGTTCTTTAAATTCAAAAGCTAAAAAAAAAAAAACACTGAAGAGGCAACGGTCACTCTGGCTTGGAAGAGCTGCTGCTCATCATGAAGATGACAATCAGTCCTACTTCCAAAACACAATGAAGCCTGGAGAACTGGAGAGGTGGCTAGCGGGTGCTGATGTCACAGATTGTACAAACTCATGCTGGGTTGCCATCCTGAGCCAGCAGGCCCAGCTACTGCTCCTCCTGGCTGATGCTGAGGTTGCCTTTCTGCACCTCCAGTTCCTCTGCACTGACCATTGATGGGTCAATGGCAGCATATTTGGTTCCATGGAATTGCAGCAAATGTATCTGGAGAAATGCAGTTATTAGGGTTATGGTTGTAAGTCTTATGGTTACAAATATTATGGTTATGATTATTTCTGTGGTGCTGGAATTAAAGCTAGGGCTTCAGGAGTGCTAGGCAAGCATTCTACCACTGAGCTATCCCCAGGCCAGAAACTTCTATGTGTGTGCATGCATGTGGAGGTCAGAGGTCAACCTCGGGAGTCATTTCTCAGAACCTCTCTGCTCTATTTTTGAGGCAGGGTCTCTCACTGGCCTGGACCTCACGAAGTAGGCAAGGCTCGCTTGTCAGGAAGCCCCAGGGATCCACCTGTCTCCACCTCCCCCGTGCTAAGATTACATGCACCATCACACCCAGCTTTTTTTTTTTAAAAAAACTTGGGTCCTGGGGACTGAATTCAGGTCCTCATGCCTGCAGAGCAAACACTTTACAAACTGAGCCATCTCCTTAGCCCTAGAACCTTTTTTTTTTTTTTTTTTTTGAGATAGGGTCTCCCTGTAGCCCCTGTCCTGGAACTCACTATGTAGACCAGGCTGGCCTTGAACTCAGAGATCCACCTGCCTCTGCCTCCCAAGTGCTGGGACTACAGGCGTGCGCCACCATGCCCAGCAGAACCTTCATTTTTTTAACGACAGTTTTCAGAACAGAATGCACATTCTATTCTATAACAAGAGTGCAGGAAAACATCACATTAGAAACATTTCATTCTATTCTAAAATTACTAATACAGACTACAGAAAAGCTGGCAAACATAGCAAAGTAAAACAGACAGGGTCTTGCTATGTAGCTCAGGTTGTCTTTGAACTTACAGCAATCCTCCTGCCTCATTCTCCAAGTACTCTAACTGTGCACCACCATGCTTTAACCAAAGAATTCGTGGGACCTTTGACCCTAAATTGTTTTCTTTGTAACCAGTCTCACCAAATTCCTGCTAAGTTTTCATGAACATTTTTTTTCTGCATGTGTGTGTACACATGTGCATATGGAGGTCCGAGGTTTATTCTTCTGAGGGTCTCTCAATCAAATCCAGAATGTGCTGATATGGCTAGCCTCTCTAGCCAGCTGGCTCTGGAAGATGCCCATCTCCATCTTCCCAGGTTGGAATTACAGGTAGACTGCCATACCCACCCAGAATTTACATGGGTTATAGGGATCCAAGCTCTGTCTTCATACTTGCATGCCAAGCGCTTTAACTACTGAACCATCTTCCTAGCTCTTCATGAACATTTTTGTTTTGACACAGGCTCTCCCTAGAGCTCCAGCTGGCCTGGAACTCACAATGTAGATCAGGCTGGCCTTGATCTCACAAAGATCTACCTGCCTCCCAAGTGCTGGGACTAAAGGTGCACCACCACGCCCAGCTTCATGAGCATTCTTAAATGGCCTCACGATGCTCGAGCAGTGGATGTATGCCCTGCATTCCACTGCAGTATGAGGTCCAGTCTTCTGCTATGATTAAGGCTGTGATGAGACCTCTGGGCATCAGTTTTTCTATATCTAGAATTGTCTCCTTAAGATCTAGTCCACAAGCACAAAGACCAAAGACAGGACTTGCTGTGTAAGGCACCTGATACTTCTTGCCAAACTGTCAATCACTTGTTACCACTGTTCTAATCTCTCTTAGACTGAAGACATGGTGTTTTTAAAATTTATTTTTCCTGGACTGGCGTGGTGGTGAACACCTTTAATCCCAGCACTCAGGAGGCAGAGGCAGGCAGATCTCTGTGAGTTCAAGGCCATCCTGGTCTACATAGTGAGTTCCAGGACAGCTGGGTCTACAGGGAGACTCTGTCTCAAAAAGACATAAATAAATAATAAGTAAGTAAGTAAATATGCTTAGCTCTTTTGTCACTGTTTCTTTAATGTCGTTCTTTGGTATATAGTGCCTAGGAAGTGGTATGTATTGTCCTTTGTGGCTTTGGTGTGTTTCAGACTTTAGTTATATGAACCCAGATGAGTGTGAGAATACTGGTTGGCTTCTGTAGCACCTGGCCTGCTCAGGGTCGAGCGTGTTCCACTCAGTGGTACTGCTTTCTCGTTGCAGGAGTTGGTCCAGGTAGTAATGATGAGACCCTTCTCTCTGCTGTTGCCAGTGCTTTGCACACAAGCTCTGCTCCGATCACAGGACAGGTCTCTGCCGCTGTGGAAAAGAACCCTGCTGTTTGGCTTAACACATCTCAACCCCTCTGCAAAGCCTTCATTGTCACAGATGAAGACATTAGGTAAGGCATTTAACATAACTTTATAAACTTAGGTTTTGATTATAGATAAATTGTATGCTATCTGTGAGGTTCAGTGCCACAGCTAGTATAGTTGAATATCTCTAACCC